GATGACACCAACTCAATTGGAGACATCAAGAGGGATCTGACTGCTTTCTTTGACTTCTACATCACTACAGTCGATAAGAATACTCTATTCTACCAGGAAGCAGTGAAAATGAGTGGATTGATGGCTGAAATAGCACGAACGTATTCAGAGGAGATGGCAGTGACTGCAGGTGATGAGAAGGAAGAAGACACCAATGCCGTGATTGAGCGAATAAATGGCGTGATTGTGCAGAACATCAACAAGAAGTTTGCTGCGGAAGAGGAGGAGAATGCAGACCAAATCAACCCAAGCAATCAGCAGTTTCTGAGCAGCAATCAGCCCGTTTCTAAGACGGAGGCTGCTCCCCTGAACAATGGCAGATTTCAAGCGGAATTCAAGAAGACGAATGAGCCATACAAATTTTATTACAGTAGGGAGGAAATAAGTAGGATGAATAAGAAGAATATAAATGAGGAGATTCTTGACATCTACATGCGAAGTCTGGTTGCATTCTCACAGGATGTGGATGTTGAGACACTGAACAAACACATTTATTACTTGCAGAATGATGGACAGTGGGTGGATGACAATAATCAGTGATAAAAGCTAATAGTTCAGGTTCAATTAGGAGCCACTTTCTTATTTATTGGTAACTGTCTACAACTATCGTATGGTCTAATTCATTAGACTGTCTCTACTTGACTAAAGACGGTCATTCTCATTTAACAACTTACCCTATTAACAAATGATTATGATAAAAATATAAAAATAGTGTTGAATCTCCGTTTAGTATCAAGGGGATTGCGTAAGGAATGGGTGGCTCAGTAGGTTTTTTGGACTAGGTCTGTCTTCTTCTTTAATCTGTAGACAGCAATCTATGAAGTGATCCAAATCGTTTGGGTTACTGTTGTTGAATAGCGGATGAAATGGTTGGGCCAAATTCACAAGATCAAGGCGTCGATAATAGTCCGACCCAAAATAAGCATTCACCCATTGTTGTGCTAAGGTCGTACATGATGCGCCTCCCAAGTTATACTGCAACATCGATAACATCACATTGAGCACTATCATCCACACATCAGTCTTCAAACCTATATAGCCATAGATCATTAATTCAGGAGCGTAGCACCACGATGGCTTAATCTTCCATAGGTGAACTGTTGTTTCACCTTCAGGTAATATTACGGATGCATCAAAGTTACTGATTTTGATTACGTTTCGTGTACCATTCCATTTTTGTATCAGGTTTATCAGTATAATCCCATTATGAACAATTCTCTTAGTTTGCAAATATACCAGTCCCTCTAACACATCCTTCATAACCATTTTTATTTGGGCATGATCACCACCGTTCCAAGTCAATGGACTCACATTCTCACTCAGCGTAATTTCAACAGGATACTGGTCATTTGTAACTGAGTTATTTGCAGTGAATTTGTAGTATTGATACGTTTCAATCACGTTAGGATGCTTCAAGTTCTTAATTGTCTCACAATCTACCCTGTTAATAATTTCTGTTATTGGTCGGCCGATTTTCAGAGACAAATCATCCTTCGTAAACAATAATGGGTTAGCACTAGTATGTACGAAACCATTAGTTGTCATGTGTTGTATTACTGCCGCATCATCAGAAGTGTTGCATAGTTCTTCAATCTTCTTTGCAATAACAATAAAGTTGCTATAGTGTTTGAGATCTTTGGGATCGACAGGCACATCAGGTTTTACTGTCTCCGTCTTCTTATCTGATTTTTGTACTACCGTTTCATTCTTTGGGTTATTTTTGTTCTTTAGGTGTTTTCGTATCAGTAATACCGTTACTACGACAATCCAAGTCAGTGTCAATACCGTGAATGCAGCCAGTATGATTGCTTTTATCAGTCCATTCTTCCTAGTTAGTTCCATGGTAATGGGTACTCCTTTGCTAAAAATATTTATCCTTAATGATAACGAATATCAGTAAAACTTGACGTTTGATTTTTTGGATCAAGTCCCTTTTTTTCCCCATTTCAGTTTAAGGTCCCTTTTTTTCCCCATGGAGTTTTCTTAGTAAAAATAAAAACATGAATTAGAGTGATTTATTGGATCCTAAGAAGCTCAAATAATGCTATCAAGCCCATTCTTTTCCCAGTATTGTGCTTCCACATGAACTCACACAACAGTTCATCCAGTTTAACACCAAGAATGCCTTTGTGCATCTTGATGTTGTACTTGCACGTATTCCACGTCGACTCAATATTCTGAGTGTGGGTGCCAGTAACTGGGTTCACAAAGCTCTC